GTAGCTTAATTTACACGGGGGCAGAGCAGAGCAGGAAGGGAAGGTGAACAATATGAAACCAAAGAAAAAGATAATGTTAGGCGATCACACATGGCATAAAGAGCAGCAGCAGAGCTGACTTTCAATAGAGAGATCTTGTGACCAGTAAATATGATGGAAATAAAACAGCTGCATCCATTGCTTAGTCCTGAGAGGGGCAACATGCTGGCAGACCAACTGGAGCTTCAACAACGAAAAAACTTTTAAAATGTGAGTGGTTGATTCTTTATTTTCTGGAGCTTTTCAATTTACTTATTCATCTTTAATCTCTTTGATTCATGATGATGCCATTATTTCGATGCCACACTTTTAATATACAAAATAAAGGGTTAAAACTACACTATCACAAATAAAACATTAGAAACCTTTCATTTTACATATTTCTAGGAAGGATTTAACAATTTCAAAGAATGCATAAGTCTAAGTCAAGCTCTCACAGATGCATTATGACTATGTCTAATATTGTGCTGTGATTACAGGTGTTACAATACTCAAGACATTACTGTGAAAACAAAACAAAACTTTGCTTTCAAGTTTCTTGCGCAAGTTAGCTGATACTAAAACAAAGAGGATCTTAGTCGCTCCTGCTTGTGACTAGCAGTGGAAACAGCACTGCTGATTGGTGTCCTTGAACATTGCCCTGAAGTCGTCTTTTCAGTCTAAGGTGTTTTATTGGATTTTTAGAGTTAATGAATACAAATGCTTCTCTCTGCCCTGCTGTGGCCTTATTAGAGGATAAGACAACATAACCATAGTAAAATGGCAGGAGCAGAATAAGTGGGCTTTTCTTGAAAACAATAACAACTATATTAATTTCTAAGCAACAACAAACTTGGTTTCTAAAAGTTTCTACATTTATTTTGACAGAGGCAGTGATTTTGATCCTTTAGACCACTGAACTATGTACTTTATCTTACCAGACATATCTGTCTTTTTTGTTATGGTTGCATTTTAAAAAATTCTCTATCTTTAATGTTAACATACACGTTTAAAAGAATGAATTTGCGATATTACGCTGACCGATATTTCAAACACTTGCTCATTAGGTAAAAAAAAAAAAAACAGGTTGGTTATATGGCATATGATACTTTTGCCAGTCAAGACATACATAGGATGTGTTGTTACTAAATGTAATTTATCGCATAGTGCAGACTTTGGCTGATTTCTAATACCGTATTTTATCTTTGGTTAGGGGAGTGTTGGCCTATTGAGTTACAGCAGTGCATTCCTGAGCAAAACCTTTAACCCCTGATTGCTCCCCTGGGGCCACACAATTGCAGCCTACTGCTCCCCAAGGGGATGGGTCAAAATGCAGAGAACGAGTTTCCCCATTGTGGGACAATAAAGGGATTTACATTACATTGGTTGTTCTTCATTTATATTACAGCTTGGAGTAATACGACTTTTTCAAAGATCAGGTGTGGATATAATTTATGTCTAAATTATTTCGGTGTTCAAAACCTCCCTATGTGGTATAGCGGACTAAGTCTGAGTCAGACTCTGCCAAGCCTTCGTGGAAATTGTCCTGACTTGCTATGGTGACTTCCTAAGGGAGCAGCTTAAAAGACTCACCCTCTGTCTTAAAAATGTTCCCAGTGTAAATTAGCTTGTTTATTTGTACATAAAATGGACTGAATCACTCCAGTGTGATGGGAAATCATCACCAATTTGCTGGTATATAATTTGAAATGGCAACCTTCCTAATACTAAAGTCACCATTTCACCGTTAAATACCAACAGTTGTTGGCCTCTTCAGATGTGAGGAGGGGACGCAGAAGGCTGCAAATATTTCAAACCAAAAGTGTGCTTGTAACACATAGAAGCACATATTTCTTTATCTTCTTGAATCACAAAAAGTATTTTCTTGTTAGTTTTTCACGATTAGCTCAAATAGCATCTTAAAAACTAAATATATACCCTGTTGGTCTTTGAACTCATCAACCAACACTGTACACTTTAGTGCTGTTTTAATATCATTAAAAGTCTGGGGAAGCTTACGTGCTTTAGTGGATATATCCTTGTAATCCCTGCATGTTTTGGATTCAAAAGTAATACTTTTATCAAACAGCTTTCTATACTTGTTATGTGCTAAAGTGAAATTGGTCAAGTTTGCAATGGCCAAGTAAGACTTTCAAGAAAATAGAAATCTGATTGTTGCATTTCTAATCATTTGCAGAGGGCAGACATCTTTGAAACTTCATGGTATCTGAAGCAATAGAGCTGCTATATTTTGATACCCTGGTATATCTTACTACAGTACTAATGTTGATCAAACAAGAGGGGTTCAGAGATCAACAGAAAGAGCCATTTTTTGAGGGAATTATTTCTAACATTTAGATGAAGTTTGCAGGTAAGTTTGCATTTTTTAAATGTGGTTAAAGCTGTACAAATACTTCTTTTCTATCAACTCTTAAAATCATGATTATTTAGACAGGTTTTATATCAAAATAAGCAAAAAAAAAACAAAATAAATAATCATTAAATCCATCTTTTATTGCTATTATGCACAGTTTGCTTTCACAATCCCACCATTTCGCTTCTCTCTTTGTTTTTAGCTGCTACATAGAAACCTAAACCTGTATATTCATAGCACAATTCATCACTTCTTATAATGTGCAGGATCTTTAAAAGCATTTTAAATTATTGGTATCACAGAAATCATCTAGATCGTTTAAATGTGGCGGGAAATATTTTCACAACCCTGTATTTATACCATCTAGAAATGAATCACTTGTAAGAACTGCTTGCATCTTTTTCCAGTAATAGGCTTTTTATATGGTGCAGTTACACCTCTGTTAAGCAGTTTAATCTTTTAGGATATTTATAACTGCTGTTTCCTGTGAGTTATGGTGAGACCAAGTCAAACATCGCTACTGATCCTCTAGTGTTTGCTTTGATGCAAAAGTTCCTTTCTATGCTATGTAAACAATAACTTGCTGGAAGGACTTTAAAAGCAATCCTCAGGCAAAATTAAAGAAGTATGTAATGAACATGACGAACTGCAGGTTCACACGCAAGCAAACATCTAAAGCAACAAGAGAAAGGTGCTCATGCACTAACACAGACCAACACGTGCCGTCAGGCTGTAACTGCCTCTAAGAGCCTGAGTGTGCAGAGTGAGGGAGGGAGAGGGAGTGAGCAGCGGCCCAAAAACACCTTATCTGCCTGTTTGAGTCTCCGGTCTGACCGCAGAGCCACAGTTTACAGTCTCCACAGGCAGCCAGACTCTCAACGTCGGCGCCCAGCTCCCTTCACCACCTCCACCCCCCTCCCTCCGCTCCCCCGCCTCTTTCCCACTTCTGTCTGAATAGCCAATGGCTATGGAGGGAAAGAACGACGGATGGAGTGCGGAAGAACAGGAGGGAGGCAGCCCTCCTGTCTGTCCCTCAGATTTAATTAATGGCCCACTCCAGCACAGAGACAACCAGGCAAGCCTGCTTCCCTTTGCTCCTGACCCCCGACATACACACATTGTACCTTCCTCCATCATAGTTACAACAATCCCTCCACTTATACCTCCGTCAGCTTTATTTTTCCTGTCAATTTCTAGATGTTTCTTCCATCAGATCCTCTTATTGCATCAGACTTTTAACCTGTCCTTAACACTTCATTGGTAGATAGGTCAAACAGTGGAAGTGCACACACAACATGATAGCAGGAAGCTGGTTTAAATGTGCACCTCATCTATGTGTTTGGGTTGCAGTTTTAAGCCTGCGTAGGCATGCATCTTTATAGCCATGTGTTAGGTGTGTGCCTAAAAAATTGTGTGTCTAATTTCACTGGCAGACAGAATTAGAGCCAGCGGCTGATCGGATTGGACCTGTTTACAGACACAAAGCGAGCTGCTTAGGCTGCCTGCTAAATCTCCCTTTAATGCTCAAAGGGGCAGATTTTAGGGTGGCATAGGGCATACTGCGCCCCTACTGTCCCCCATTATCACCCATGTTTACCTCCCCTCTTATAAAAAACGGTTTCAGGGTTTGAACTTTTCCATTAGCTGATTAAGACAGATTTATCTTTTTTGGGGGGGGGGGGTCAGACCCCAAACTGGGGTCTAAGACTCTGCCTAAGCTGGTTGTTGTATTGCCTCCTCCTTTTACCCACCCTACCCGATAACACAGGCACCGTATGGTCATTTAATCCAGCAGACACAGGAGGTGAGCATATAAGGAGTAAGTATGGAGGTGTCGGGTCGTAGGTGATTAAGCTACTTGTGTAGCTAGCTAGTGGGATCAAGACAGTAGGGTCAAACTACAGACCAATTCGGAGCAAAGTCGTTGGTTCCAAACAATAGATAGTGGATGTTTTCAATTCTTATCGAAGGCAGTGAAAGTGCTTGTCGTTTAGATTGGGACATATGTGGCTTACTAAAATGCAATCGCCTACTTCATGCTGTCATATAGGTCCATTTCCAATAGAAAGTATCAAATGTATATAGAATACTGAAAAAGTTTGGATGCTTGATGTATTAGTCAAAATCTGTCAGAAACATCCAGCACAGTGAGCTTTTATTGAAGATCAGTAACATACTGATAACCCTGGCGTACCCCCTAACAGGTTCCTTGACAAATAGCTGTAATTAAATGCAGTCTGTGTAAGCTGAAAGAAAAGCTCTTACTAACACATGCACACTATGGTTCCTGGGCTCACATGAAACCGGATTAAAAGCAAACAAAGCTATTTATTCTGAGGTAATTTAAAACAGGGGGTTTAACATGAAATCCTGGGGTGCGGCAGAGAATCTGGGAAGAACATTAGGCGATCAACTTAAGAGCGACCTTTAGGAAGGAGTAATAGGCTTATTTTCAGGTCCCTCAGCCAAACAAGTTAACGTTAATTAGAGAAATTGGCGCATGTGTGTTTGAAACATATAAAAGGTCATCAAGCTAAACGAAGGAAGAGAGAGTCATGTAGAAGAGACAAGGGAGAAGGATGATAGTGGAAGATTGTGGGTTTCCTACCTGTGTGTCGAGTACTGGTGCTGTGGTCAGAGGCTGACTGCTCTTCGGGCATACCGTGCTGTCTGGTGTGGTGCAGGTTAGAGATAATTGTAGAGAGGTCACCGTCCCGACTGGAACAAACACACAGGAAGAGACAGCACAATGAGAAGCAATCTACAAACTGAACATTACAACCGGAGACCGCATGGAAAAAAAAAGAAAAAGATGAAATACATTCCATTAAAATGACTTGAGCAGCTCTCACCACAGAAATCCTTCATTTAGATATCCCGGTCCAGTTATTGAAAAAAGAAAACAACACTCCTTCACAGAGACTGTGCAGCTACAGGTGGCTGTCCTGTCTGCTGCCTCTTAGCTCTGAGGTCTGTAATGCACTCTGACAGACTACCGCATCCAGCACTTTCAGGTCTCATCCCTGCTCATCTTACGCACTAAGATGTACTAATGAACATATTCACAACTCATAAGTAGTTTAGAAGCTTAAAACCTTAATATGACTCTTTTTAAACCACTGTTACTGATGGGGCGCTTCAAAGACATAGCAACTTAATACAATGAAAGGTTATCTCATTATTAGCATGTTTCATCATATTACAGAGTTAAATATATGAGATTATAAATAAAGAAATTAGTGATGATTTAATATTTAAAACAACGGCCATAGAACAATGCAATATTACTACTTAAGAAAGACTTTAACATGAGGTTTGTCATAAGCAAAAGCATCCAGAAGGATCCTGTTAAGCCCTGTAGAACCTAAAGTATGATCGGTAAAAGGGTTTGCAGATTAGACTTGCACTTGATTGGGGCTCCAGATTTCCTATTTGCAGTTTTTCTAAACTCCTAACACAACTGTGCCATGGAGGAGTTTCATTTGCAATCTGATTACCCTCCTGATTGCATTAAAATGGAATAATCATGGGGAAATAGGTGCTTAGCGTCTGACTGGTGTATGGCAGCTTTGGAGTATGAGTAGTTGGTGTCATCACACTCTGTATGAGAGCTTCAAAGACGCATAAACCTTGGTTTATAGTTGAAATGTCTATTACTGCTACAGTGCATTCCACGAGAGTTCATACGCCTTAAAATTCACACATTTCTTTTTTACAATGAATGAGTTTTGAAGTTACCAAACATGTCAAGTCCATCTGTGTGTAAATCTACCTAAGCTACATTGTGGCCTCATGGAGACCAAGGAACGCAGCAGACAAATCAGGTTATGGAGATATTTAAAGCAGTGGCTAGATTATACAACGATATCAAAGACCACAGAACACTGTTCAATTCAATCATTCAAAAAAAGAAAGTTAGGTCCAGAGACAATATGCAAGCTGTTAAGAGTTAAAGAAAGGTCAATCTTTAAAGTAACACCACTAGATGATCCAAAAGCTTTAAAACTAGAGCTTTTTCATTTACTCTAAGTTACAGCCAGAGCTATGATGGTATGGGTTATATCAATGTATATTCCCTGCATTGAAGTTACCCAGTCAAACCTGAGAACTCAGATGGAAAATTGATGTTCAGTAGGGGTGCATGACTTCAGAAAGGAATTTAATAGTGATAGCTAAAACTTGCAGTAACAATAATATTGATCACCTCCTATTTTCCTGACTCAATGAGTTTTATTGTCTCAGCAGTGACATATACATCAGCTATGAGCAATAATGGTAGTTTTAGAGACCATTCAACAGGCCATTATATTATTAATGTGATTTGTGATTGCTTTGGATTGATGAGATTTCTCACACCAATATTTTGATGAAATATTGCAAATCAATACAGTGTGAAGCTCTAATGTTGCCAAATACTCCCCATGTAGTAATAGTGGGGAAAAAGTCTTAATATGTGAGCAGCTGGTAGAAACACTAAAACCCCAAAGCTGTAAAGATGGTTCTATACAGTATCAGAATGGACAACCTGCATTTAAATCCAAGCAATTATATTGTCTTATATTGTTATTTACAAAAATAGTTAAAAACGATGCAACTTTTTCTTTTTAATTTACCATTGCTGGTATCCTGCAATTTTTAAATGTCTCCCTTGTTTTAATAACCTGAATCAAATGGTTACACTACCTCTTTAGAAGCAGTCAAGCTTTGCTAACGAAATCCTATTGGAGTCAGGTGTGGTGAAGCATAGTTGCAGGGCAACAAACCTTGTGGATTTTAGTTAGAGACCCCTGACACAACACATGAAATACTGACGAAAAATTTGGTGAAATTATTATGAAAGTAGCAAAGAGGTGTCAATGGCTTTGTAAAGCGTGGTGAACATATATATTAGGTTTGAGAAGTTTTCATGCCTCTTCAGTATTGCCACATTCCTCCATCCATCCTGTATTTAAACATATCAGCGTCATATTTCGTTGGAAACAAAGATCTTCTATAAATGTTTGAATTGTCCTCTTACCAAAAGCTCAATCATCTTTGAAGGGGGTCTGGTATGACACGGTAAGCACAGTTTAACAGGGAAGAAGCGGTGAATGGTCCTTAGCTGCCACCACCGTGACGAGGCCACACTGTTTGCGGCTGCTGGATTTGGGGTTTTTTTACAGTCCCATGATTACAGGCTCCTGCTGTAATGTCAGGCTTTTGGTCGCCAAGCTGTTTTCCACACACTAACAGTAAAGCTGAAGGGTAGTGCTGAGGGCGTCACGCTGGCCTCACCAGTCACCTCTCAGTCACAGAGAGCCAGTGACTCAGAAAACAGCCCCAGACAAAACAGCCCCCATTGGTTGCTAGGCAAGGAGACGCTTGATTGGACCTCGACTTGATACTTTTTTTTTGACTAATTACAGACTTCATTTTTTAGGGTGTATCTTGCTAAAATTGGTAGCTATCTGCGTCTGAGAGCCCCATGATTTTCTTTAAACGGTAAATGAGATACAAAGAAGGATAGTTAAAAGTCATATTACAATGTATCACACAGTGACTCCAGCAAAAAAATACATCCTTCACAAACTCTACAGTGCATAAGTCTAAGAAGTTGCAGTCAAATCAATCAGCCAGCTTGCTGCTTTATAACACCACCCTCTGTCCATCATTTAAAGTGATCATGATAATGCCATCCTGAACTTCTCAGAGAGGTGAGGGGGTTATTATCCCATGGCGAAGTGGCTACTCTAAGCCATGAACGCCAAGGACATTGTTAGTTAGGTAATTAGTGCACCTCTCCTGAGCTGTCCCGCCTCAGCTTGGGCTAATGAGGGCTTAGCCCTATCCCAACCCACCTCTGCTCTGCCTCCCCCTTTCCTGTGGTTGGTGACAAGGTCATCCTCGACTCATAGAAGATGGAGAGGGGGTTGGGGATGTAGTTTAAAACCCAGTCACCTGAGTCAGCGCTCCCTAAGGAGCTTCTAAGGCCACGGTAAACTGGGAAGGACGGGGCCTCTGAGAGGATAGACAGGGTTATATGAGGCCTGATAGCTAAGAAGGACATGAGCCGCCTCCTTATCAACCAGGCACACGCCGGAGACAATCATCTCATCCTTGGCTCATCCCTTAACTGGTCAATACTGTCCCCTCATCAGCGCGCACAGGGCCTTCAGGGAATGAGTGGACGAATACATGGCTGCACTGAAAAATCTGTCATAGATTTAACTGTTTTTCAACATGACTAATTAAACAAGACTGGGGATAGTTTGCTCTATCATCCCTTTTAAATCTGTGCCATTATACAATGGCTCAATAAAGCTATCACTTGATTCAGTTTTCAATGTCTTTTTTTGTTTTATAGAGGGACAGAACACATTCTGGATAGGTCCACAGTGCATCAGAGGGCAACCCAAAGACATATTCAAACCTAAGGGCCATTTAGAAACCCCAAGTCCCCTTCCACATATGGTTTTGGATGGCAGGAGGAAGATGGAGTACTCAGTGGTGTGCACTGGGAGGACAAGCAAACTGCACACAGAAAGATTCAGCCCATATATAAACCATACCATCTTGAAGCAAATAGCAGTGCTAAAAACAAGCCTCTACTTGCTCAAGTCAATAAAGAAAAAAAATCATTCATTTTTAGAACTTTGAAATTTACATTAATGGTTTCCTTTTACACATGAGAACAATATAAATAGCGAATATTTTTTATAATTCCGTATCGATTAGTATTGGAAAGAAAAGCTCACTGGCTATGCCCTAACGTCCGCCCTAAATCCCTAAATCACTATATAGAGCGAGGACTATATAGTGGACTTAATTGAGAGGAGAGCCTGAGGAGAATCTGGGATATGTTTGATCATTAGTGACTATTGATGATCAGTAATGATCAAAGTGCATTGTGGTAAATTTGGAATCCGCAAATGTTTCATACACTAGATGTCCGGACACTCATTTAAAATGGCCTAATCCCTACATAGTGCCCTATATAGCGATTAGGGCAGATGTTCGGACACAGCCTCTGAGGATAAATAAAAGAGCTGCATTATTGCTCTTCATAAAGATACTTGATTGACCCCAAATATACAGTAGCCTAAGCCCAGGCTTCTTTCAGAACAGGCCTTGCAATGATCAGCCAAAGTAGTGGAGTGCATATAAGAAGTTTCAAATATTGATTCTTTTAGTTAAAATAGTCATATAATTATTGCAAGAGGTTGGAGGGGTGAGTGTCAACATGTCAGTGTTCTGACTATACACTGCATGAAATTTGGCTTAATAGCTGCTGTCTTAGAACAAAGCCTCTTCTAACAATGATGCACAAGAACACCTGCAAAGAGTTTGCAGAAGACACAAAGAATAAGGAAATGGATTGATAGAACTATGACAAACATGGTAAGGGAATCATGGTTTAGGGTTGTAAGAGCACTTCTGGCTGTTCACTACAGTTCACTGAGGGACCCATGAATCCCAAAATCTTGGATATACTGAGGCAAAATATCACTGGCAAACTGGGCCACAGGGTAGTATTCCAACAAAGTAACAACCCCAAACACACATTCTAGAGGACCATTGCCCTGCTAAGGAAATTAGGGGTAAAGGTGCTTGACTGGCCAAGCATTTCTCCAGACGCTAACCCTCGTGAACATTTGTAGGGCACCATCAAGCATACATGTAGGATGATGGAGTGCAACGTGTCCTTCATCCAGCCAGTCTATATTGTTGTCATAGATCAG